CTTGTGGATAAACACGATTAGTCATCGCTTCTAATTTGACAGGCACGAGTTCTAAGCCTGGCACTTGCAGTCCAAACAAATTGTATACGGACTATAAACTAATTAAATAATATTCGATTATTCCCAAAGACCACTGATGAAGAGTACTTGGCAATACTCGAAACAGCGTTGTGTGGTCAGCCAAACTTCAATAAAATTAAAAATAAATTTTTGTGTTTGTCCTTTATTTCTTTCTTTGTTATTCGAAAACTCTCTAAATTTTAATAAAGCTTCTTTGTCACCATACAAAGAAAGCGTAGCTTTATAGCAACACTAATACTTTATTCAAATATTAGGCTTGTGAAAAGTAAAGAACAATATGTTAAAATATAATATTGTTCAACTTTTCCTAACCGCGAAAGCGGATTTGTAGAATAACATAGCATAGCTTCTTTGTAAAAAGCACCAAAATGGTCGCTTTACATATAGTAAGTAAAACAATATGCATTACAAAATGTCTCTACAAAAAGAGTAGCTTTGAAAAGAAATAAAGAAATAGGCAAAACCCAAAAGTTAAACTTTCAATTCGCTGAACTTGTGTTTCCAAAAATAAAGCTGAAGTTTATAAGCTCGTTCTAATTTAAAAAGCACGGCAAGTGCGTTGGTTGTTGTCACTAATTAAATAAAAATAAGTGACAATAAAACCTGGAACTTGAGCATTGAAAGTTTGTGCAGCCTTGGCTTCTTGTGGATAAACACGATTAGTCATCGCTTCTAATTTGACAGGCACGAGTTCTAAGCCTGGCACTTGCAGTCCAAACAAATTGTATACGGACTATAAACTAATTAAATAAAATCGATGTATTCCCAAAGACCACATGGATGAAGCAGTACCTGCCAAATACTCGAAACAAGCGTATGTTATGTCAGCCAAATCTTCACAATAAAATTAAAAATAAATTTTTGTGTTTGTCCTTTATTTCTTTCTTTGTTATTCGAAAACCCTTCTAATTATTTAAAAACACTAGAATATTCACATATTAATTATGATTAATTTAAATGTGCGCTTACTTATTTATGCACAACAGTTGAAATTGCATTGATAAGTGTGGGATATTAAATGTCAAAATAGTTATCGTCGAACAGTTGAAATTGCACTGAGGGAAAAGGGAAATGTAATGTCAAAATATAATTATCGTCGATTTCTTATTACGATGTCATTTCACATTTTAATTAATTAAAACATTATTATTTAATTAAAAACTATGAAATAAAAGACAGAGAACAGTAAAAAATATGTTTGGTTTTCTAAATATACTTAGTTTTTATATAGTATAGAGCAAATTTTCTTTAAAAATAGAAAGCAAAAATTTGTAAAAACGAAGTTACATTACAAAATTAATTATATCTTTAAAAGCAGATGAAGCATTTTTATTTATGCAATTTTTCGAATTAATTTAATTAAATATTTGTCTTAACATATTGATAAAGGGATTCCTAGAAGAATATCCAAAGGTAATTATGAAATAATTTCAGTAAATAACATAAATTATCAGTTAGATTATTTAGCGCGAGCTTTTATGCCAAAATGGATATTCTTCCGAAATATTTAAAGCTGTTGTAAAAAAGGATAAATCGGTCATAAAAAAGTGAAATTCTCTCACCAAATTAAGAAACTTGTTTAGATATTCTCAAAATTCATTTGTGTAAAATAAACTTGACCCGCTGCATTAATTTGCGTAAAAAAACTGAGCTTATATCGGGAACTTCTGGTGCAGAAGTTAAAGGCGTTTGTATAGAAGCTGGTATGTACGCATTGTGTGGGCGTGGTGTGCATGTTACTCAAGAAGATTTTGAAATGACTATCGCTAAAGTTATGCAGATGAATTCAGAGGATTCATGTCTATGGTATTAAGAAATTATGAAAGTAAATTTTAAGACTTTTATATATTTATACACCGAAAATGATTATTGATTTGTAATTGAATTATTTCTTGGATCTTCACAATTAAAAGTTAAAAACTAAATATAACATTTACGTTTTTTGTATATGTTAATTTTTTGTGAAAAACGCATAATTTTTTTTTTTTGTTATTAAAATTTTGGTCTTATTACAATATATTTTATTACAGTTGTAGATGATTTTAATTTATATAAAAAATGTTTTGTCTTAAATATTTTTTCAAAACCTCTTGAGTTGCGTTTTCGAAATAAAAAATTTCGAAACATGCCACAGTACAGTAAAAATCTAGGGGATTATTGACTTTGTCACGGACTTACTCAGCATCAACCATAGCCATTGCCACTAAAAACTTTAGAGAAAGTTTCACCGTTCGTAAGAAAACGAGATCAAATAGGATTCAATAAATCAAAGCACTTATCTCGGCTTTAACAACAAAATGTTTGCAGAAATTGCATAAATTAGAGCAGTGATTCTCGACTCAAGACATGCTGTAGACCAAAAAAATATTCAATGTAGTTTACAAACAAATTATTAAAAGCATCTAGTGCAAAGAGTAGTACCAATATTTTTGAAACAAATAATATCGTTAAGACAAAAATTCAATATTTTACATGCCAACAGTGCTAATGATACCCTTATTTTGAAGTTATTTAAGCCACTGTCATATAGAGTTATTGCTAAAAAGTAAATTTAAATCTAGCCAGGTTTATATATAAAAAATTCAGAAAAAAATTGTTGAATAAATCAAATTTTATTTTGTTTATTAATGAAGTACTAAAGCCGTATTTACAATCATTACAAGATCTGAATTAAAAGGTAAGTCAAAAATTATATTTGTTGTGAGGACAACAGCATACGAATATCAAAGAAATGTTTATAATATTAAATAAAAGTAATTAAAATTTTAAGAAATACAAATATTTACAGAATTTATTGCAAATGTTCATTAAATAATGAAATATATATGCTAAAAGTGATCATTTTTCGGTTAAATGTTTCCTAATAGCGATTATTAATTTTTTCAATACAAATAACACAAAACATTTTAATAAAATTATTTTTTATTGTCATTTTCTATATTCTTATATTTATTTGAATTCAATTATGAAAATATTATCTTATGAAAATACTAAAATGGCAGCCCTGGCGATTTAGTCTCGACCAAAGAATACTTTTACAAGAACGGAAACTCCGCCCACTTCCATCGAAACGAAGAGAAATTTATTACACTTTGGCACACGCATGGAATACATGTGATTTTACCACGATAACATCAAATTACTCTCTTTTGGGGTTGCAGTATATTAATTTCTTACTACTTGCTTATCATATGCTTTCCTTTTAATAATATAAAAAAGTTGTGCGTACCTTATTTGGTTAATAATATCACATCACGTAAACAAAATATATATTGTAACAACATAAATATATGATAAATAAATATATAAATTAATATATAAACATTTAAATCAGTCAATTTTAATCAGTTTAGTTTGCTTAATCATGTAATATGTATTCAGCAAATTCATAATTTTAATTAATTTTTTAATATAAATTTTAAAGTATTTTGATTTATTATGTGCGGCAAAAAACTTTTGAAGAAGTGAATTTTTTTATAAAATAAAAAAAGCAGTTTTGAATATATCTTATTTAATCATTTATATTTTCTTAAATATTTTTTGAGCGTATAAAACATTATTTCTAATATAATATTGAAATAATATCATTAAATGCTGTTATGATGTGTAATTAATAATAAAAACCGAAGCTACATTAAGACCGAAAAGCTTTCGGAAATTCTCATTTAAAATTCGCGCGCTGTATATTTTCCGATATTTTAAGTTTATGTAGTTTGGCAGCACTGTCCTTAATTACTATGCCAAAAATGAGCGCGATCTGTCAGACAGTTCGTTTACGGCAGCTGTTGAAACCAGTTCACCTCAGTAGGGCGTTGCGAAAAAAACAATGGAAAAAAATATTGAACAAAGAGTTTGCATCAAATTTTGTGTTTCGAACGAAATTTCGTGTGCAGAATCGTTGCGAATGCTACAAAAGGCTTATGGGGAATCAGTTTTATCGAAAACTCAAGTTTATGAGTGGTACAAAGCCTTCCAGGACGGTCGTACGACCGTCGAAGACATTTCGCAACGCACTACTGAGGTGAACTGGTTTCAACAGCTGCCGTAAACGAACTGTCTGACAGATCGAGCTCATTTTTGGCATAGTAATTAAGGACAGTGCTGCCAAACTACATAAACTTAAAATATCGAAAAATATACAGCGCGCGAATTTTAAATGAGAATTTCCGAAAACTTTTCAGTCTTAATGTACTATCAATTTACTTTTTTATACGGTAACACTCAAGTGGTGAATGATGAATTATATTTCTCTGCATAGGCAAATTTTTCAAATTTAGTGCTGAAAAATCTATTGATGAGGTAGGGTGTACGCGCATTCGCTGTAAATTTATGTGATGAATGTACGTATTTTTAATTTGCATGCATTTCTGATCAGTAGCGATAAATCTGTTGATGGGTGGGGATGCACGCGCATTCGCTTCAAATGTATGAGGTGAATGGTGCGTATTATTCATTTACATACACATAGTAGAAAAAGTCTACGGATATTCACATAATTTTACTAAAATTACGCATAACTTTTTTAATTTTTACTCAAATTCATTTTTATTTCCTGATTTATTTTAACCAAAGAAACAACAATAAAGTTGCAATATTGAAACTAAACAGTTATTCTTTAAAAAAAAATTAAACACAATTATATGCGAAAGTAGTAATTTTTGAAGCAGAAAAAGTCTACGGATATTTCTTAATATTTACATTTACCGCTAATTTAAATTCGCTTGCAAGCATAA